GTTCCCCGTGGAACTGTGAATCCTGAAAGAATCTCAGTCAATCCCTTCATAAATTAAGAAACATAAAGTGGAGGGAATAAATATTTGATCCCTTGCTGATGTGTCACGTTTGCCCACTTACAAAAACATGAACAGTTTATAATTTTAAGGGTAGGTTAATTTTAACAGTGAGAAATAGAGTTGTCCTGGAACTAATACTTTTAGGTTTAAGCCAGTAATTCATGACGTCCTTTAATGACCCAGGTTTTAATGACATGCTGTTCATCAGCAGATAGAATGATTAAAGTCAGAACAAGATCTGCTAACAACAATCATTCTTAGATATCACTTGTGTTTATCTTTGTGTTTTCCCTTGACCCAGCATTTCCTTAGAATGAAACCTTGCTAAGATGACTTAATAGTGTTTGTTAAACAATATATACATAAATGAGGCCTCTCAACTTTCTCATCTGTGACACAGAGACAGAAGCACAGAGACAGGGCAGAGAGCAGGGCGACAGTCTGATGTTGTTCTGTGTTTCCTGTTGTTGCAATAAAACTCAGCTGATCAATCCCACGGAGTACCTTCATTCTTGGACCACGTATTTCTGTCTTTGTTAAATAAATATTTCCATAACAGTAGGTAAAACGTGTCTACCACTTCTATATGAGTGAAATTGTCTATGTAGACATAGATTTGCTCTTTGACTCCTTTTAGAAATGTATTATTTCTTTCTTCCTTTATTTCTTTCTGTTGCAATCTTTACTCTCTACTCTCTCTTTACCTGCTTCCTCTATCCCGATCAGGGGGAGCTGGTCTTATCTCCAGCAGTCAGTGGGAGAGGCAGGAGACACCCTAAACAGGTCCCCAGTCCATCACGGATAAAAGAAATGTCAAAAATATAAACCAGAAACGTTGCCTGAGTTGAATTTGATTTGATGTTTCAGTTTACTTAAATGAYACAATGTGCATCAACAATATTCTTATCAAAACAAAATTAAAATAAAAAACCTTATTGTGCATGTTTTAATTGATAGGAATTGTATATTTTTTGTCCCAGCAAAATTTTTTTCAAAAATACCAATTAAAGTCATTAAACATAAAAGTAGTATTACGACAATGTAAAACGCCGATTCAATCATGAAAACAGAGTTTAAATATTTTAAATAAATGTATAAATTATTCCTCCTATATGAGATATGTATTTTTAATACATTTTAAAAACTACTAGCTATTTGTCTCCATTTTGTTACATCACAGCAAGAAGGTCGTAGTTTCAACTCCCAGCTGTGGCCACTCTGTGTGGAGTCTGCATGATCTCATGCATGTTTGTGTTTTCTCCAGAGACTCTGTTTTAATAGACCAAAAACACGCATGTTAGTTTAATTGGCTACTTTAAATAATCCCTCTGTGAGAATGTGAACAGGAATGCTTGTCTGTCTTATTCATCTTTATGTGGTTCAGTCATGAACCAGTGATTTGTCCAGACTTTTACCCATATTAATTTAACGACCTGCAGAGATCGGCACCAGCTCCCTGTGACCCTGAACAGAAAGAGAAGTGTGTAAAGAAAAAAAATGCGTATGTCAATAAAAACTACTCTGCCTACTTAAAACAAAAAAAAATGACATCGTGTTCTTTATTTTCTCATTTAGATTACAACAATGCAAGGTTAAGATTAATTAATTAGTGCTGTTTTTTTTTAACTAAGCTGCTCAGATTAAACTAATTAATGAGAATCTTTAAATGCTTGAGGTAAAATTGTTGATGAAGTCTCACAACAACCTCTTCAGTTTCAGTAAGAGCAGCTGTGAATGCAAAAAGATTTTGATGTCATCATCACAGCACACCACAAGAGGGCAGAGTTGCCTCACATGTGGGTGAACTCCACAAAGAAAATGGATGTAGACAATTTGCTTCATACAATCTAAAAAGAAAAAGAAAAAAAAGAAAAGAAGATGGGGTTTTAAGACTCATTCACACTTTATGTATTTAAAAAAAAAAAAAAAAACATGTAGATGGATGGTTTGCAGCCCTTCATTTTCAGTCCTGATCCACATTCTGCATGGTGGATCAGCACCACGGACAGAAACACATTCCAACACCCAGAACAGCTCCTTTTAGTTCAGTTTGGGGTCTTTACTCTTCATAATCATCAGTATGCAGCAGGTTTGTCACGATGCCCTGGTCCTACAAAGCCCTGTGATGAAACACTTCTCTTGTTTTCCGTCTCTGTCCTTTCTAGGTCACCTTCTCGCAGAAGATGGCCTATTGTGTTCATGGATGAAACCACAGCCTGCCCACTCATATGTGGGATTTCCTTCGACTTTAGAGGGAGCTGTGTGGGGAGGAAGAAGCAGCATTTCGTAATCATTTGCCCTTTACATCGAGGATTGCATCACAGCGTGCACGTCAGACTCAGGCACGAAAGAAAGGAGGAGGGAGCAAAAGTGGGGGTGGCGTTTAACCCTTTATCCCTCAAGACCACCAATAAACGTAGAACTCATGCTGCCGCCACTTTAAAGGGTCTATCAGAGGCAGTAAATCTTACACAGAATTATTTGTTTTAATAATTAAATACTGCTAAATGTTAGCAGCTTTCAATGCAGACTGTAGTGACAGTGAAGCAGAGCAGAGCTATAGATAKATTTCACACAGCTTCATTTCAGGTAATGGATTCTTTAATCCATTTAAATATTCTCCCTTTAATACCCAACTTGTATAATTTAATTAATAATCCATCCACCCACATCATGTCATATGCCTTTTCTATATAAAAAAATACTGCCTCTACACTTTATTTATTTACTTGAGCTCTTCTAATGTCATGCTCTAAACATAGCCTAGGATCGTTAGTACTTCTCCCTTTTCGAAAACCACTTTGATATTTTGACATATATCCTTTACTATTTAAATAATATACTAGTCTATTATTAATCATTTTTTCCATTATTTTACATAGATTTGATGTTAAAGCTATTGGTCTGTAGTTTTCTGGGTTTGAATTATCTTTTCCTGGTTTGGCTAATTGATTCCTTCCAGTTCAACGGTAATTTTCCCTCCTCCCAAATTTTATTATATAATTGTAATATTATATCTTTAGATTTTTCACTGAGTTGCCTTATCATTCTATACCAGATTTGGTCTTTACCTGGTGCTGTATTTTTTGTCTTCTTAAGTGCATWATTCAATTCCYTTTTTGTAAACTCAACATTCAACAAATTATTTGTTTCTTCAACGCTCTGTAAAAAATCTTTATATATAATTTTTGTATGTTCTCTTCCTTTTCTTCCCTTCTCACTAATATTATTTGAACAATGAATTTTACTAAACATTCCTGCCAATATTTCAACTTTGTCTTCATCTCTTATTTTATTTGTGTCATCTATTTTTAGTATGGGATATTCATACTCTCTTTCAGTTGGGGCTCTGCTCAGACCAGTCACTATAGCTCATCAATCAGGTCCAAATTAAACCATTTCTCCAAGTTCAGGTCAGAGTCATCTGAATTTGGGTCCAAATGCAAATGGACTCAAAGAACCCAGTAAAATAAAGTTATTTGTTGCAAAATAAAATGCAAATAACCACTGAGGTGTCAAAACCAGAGTCTGTGGAGACCCCATATGAAGGATAATGCAGAACTGGTGCAGTGAAAAAAAGACTAAATATAAAGGTACAAGCTGATGAGATCATGCAAAGCAGCTGGGCTAAARAGGAAGTGGTAACAGGTGAGACTGGAAAACCAGTGAGGGCAAAATGACAGGAGACACTGATAAAATGGAACACAAGAGATAAATGATCAGGAAACCACAGCAGGGAAATAAAATATGCCAATACATACAAAACATAAATAAAATAAAAATAATAAAACAAAATAAAATAAAACACAGACTGTGACAATCTACAGCAGGTAAGATATTAAGCCTGCATCACGTCTCCACAGAACCCAACTTTAAGACAGCCGAACCATCCCTTTAAGGACAAAACCAATAAGTACTGCAGCGGGGAGAGGGGAGCGGCTCTGATTAATTGATTTCCTTTGCTGTAACATTTGCAGGGATCAATAGTGAGAGAATCAGTGAACGTCAGGGGGAGGGAGGGGGTGTGTGAGGAAGAGGAGGAGCGGGGGAGTGGGGTGAGAGGGGGGGTATACGTGATATTCTCCGCCGCACTGTGAAGTGGGCCGTCCCTGTTTTAGTGGAGAGCTGCACGAGGAAGGCCCACCTCAGAGATCAGCTGAAGATATCTGCGGCTTTAGACGGGTTCTAGTTTGAGTCGAGCGCGCAGGACGAATCGGGGACAAGTCGGAGGCTGTGAGGAAACAGGTAAGGATGCGYAATAAAAACCAAARCAYTTAGAGMTTTAGGTGATGTCGATGTGGAGCAAATGGAGGTCACCGGCCTCGCGTGGGGAGAGAAGGTTCTCGGGGGGTTGAGTTGATGCAAAATGAAGAACCGGTTAATCGATTTAGCGTTCAGCTCGGCTGCTGGATGCTGGATGTTGAAGACTCGAGCCGCACCATCCGGGATGGCACCCTGATGGATGGATGGATGCATGTATGGATGGATGGACTCTCCGGTCTGCAGCTTTTAGAGATGATTATTTTCACAGCGTTTTCTTCAACTCCATCAGAAATCCCGGTTTTGCAGACATGATTCGACATGTAATCCCCGCTGATATCACAGGAGGTGTCGTCGTGCTTCCCTTCCCCCCAGCAACGAAATAAAGTCCACCCTCAAATATCATATGCTGTGCAGTCCCTTGTTATTATTTAATTTTATATAAAGAAGGCCATGCGCTTCTGTCATCCCGCTGCACCACAGATGAGCAATAAGGAGCATCTCACCATTTTACTGAACTATTGTCCATTTTAATATTTCATGCATTGAGTGTGGTTGAGAGGAAACAAAAATGGGGTTGAATGCATGAGTGAGCAAAGGGTTTTACTAGAGCCCGATGATGGCTGGACTGCAGCCGTCACGATCTGCCACASGAGGCGGTGCTGCCTTTCATTTCCAACCCCAACTCTCATGGAGTTCATCTAAAAATAATCCAAACGAGATTAAACTTCAAATTTTATCAACTACAGGAGCCTCACGTGTGTGTTCTAGCCATGATAGTGTGTGTTTGAAACAAGGGTCGTGTCTGACTGCTCGTGTCTCTCCACAGTAGCTTGGCCAAGATGGATGTGTTCATGAAGGGTTTGTCCAAAGCAAAGGAGGGCATGGCTGTGGCCGCAGAGAAGACCAAGGAAGGAGTTGCAGTTGCTGCTGAAAAGACTAAGGAAGGCGTCATGTTTGTAGGTAAGATGGTGACATGGTTGTGTTTGCAGGATATTTGCATGCAAATTATAAAAAAAAGAGCTCATGTAAAGACCTGCTTTTCTCTTCTGCATGCATGTGCAACGGGGTATCAAACTCAGTTACACAAGGGACCCAAAACTAAAAACTTGGTCTTTATTATTATTATTATTATTATTATTATTATTATTATCATTATTTTATAGTAAAATAGGAAATTATGCTTGTAGAAATACAAATGACAACTGGAGTTTGATCAGTCCCACTTGATGCCCTCTAGCTCCTCATACAAAAATGAAAATGAAAAATTCCAACTTATTTTTGTGGCTTTAAATTTGGCCATGTGCCATGAGAAGACTGCAATAAGTACAAGGTCTAAATAAAAAAAGAAAAGCAATAAACTATTTTACACTTACAGTATCATCTTTGGGGCCAGATGAAATGCTAAGGATGGCCAGATTTGGCCCGTAGGCTTTTAGTTTGATATGTTTCAGAACATGTCAGCCTGGCCTTGACAGTGGATGAATCATCAAAATAGAAATTAAATGAGAATCAGAAATTGGCATCATGATGGATTAGTTGTTACCTCTGTTGCCTCACATTAAGAAGGTTCAAGCACCAAGTATAGGGTGTGGAGTTTGCATGTACTTCTCATGTTTGTGTGGGGTTTTCTGCAAGTACCCTGCTGTTCTCCTACTATCCAAAAAAACGTGCACGTTTAGGCTGCCTTCAGGCCTCCACAGAAACAGAGATTTGGGATCTGAATGTGATTAGCTTGGTTAAATCAAGATTAATGAAAGATAAATGATAAATACACAAATCCAATATCGCTGCTTTTATTTTGAAACCACATTTTGCATTGCTTTCATTTAAAAGGCTCACGTGCACGTGAAATCCACAGGGAAAACAGATACAGCCAGAATAAATTTGCTGTTTACACCTCTATGCTTCATAAAATCTGAACATGTATGAAAACATAACAGAGGATTTGCAGCCCTTTATTTTCAGTCCTGATCCACGTTCTGCATGGTGGATCAGCACCATGGACAGAGACACATTTCAGGACCCAGAACAGCTCCTTTTAGTTCAGTTTCCTATTCTTACTCATAATCATCAAGATTGCAAAACATGCACATTTTTTCAAAAWTTTTTTGAATATTTATTTACAAAAAACAAAGTTTAAATTTCTGGGATAACTGGATGATCATATTCCATTAATTGTGATCCATAATATTTAACCAAAGTTTAAGTCACAAAGTGGTATGTAGAGAAATATGAAGCCATTGTATTTTAATTAAAATTTCTCATTTTGTCAAAATATGATGAACTAATACCTTATCAATGAGTTGTTTAATGAAATATTTGAAGTACAATCTTAAATAATGAAGTCCTTTTATGAGAGGTAGCTACAAAAAAAAGTAAAGCCTTACATTTTTCATATTTTCCCTCCAAGCTAGCAAATCCTGTTTCTTTTCCAGCTAATAAATCTTAACATCCAACAGTTGTTTGAAGTTTCCTCTTTATCATTACATATATATATATATATATATATATATATATATATAATAACCTAAAATGAAGAGTTGGACCAAATGTCAATGGGTTATTCTGATTAGGAAGTCAAATCTCTGGAACCGTTCATACCATTAGGATGATCCAGGTATCAAAATGTGGCTTAAAAAGCCAGAGATCTGAAAGTGTGCTTAGATCATTTTGACAAAAGTTGATTTAATTTTCTGTTCAATGTGATGGGTCACAAATACTGATGAAATTTATGTTTGAAAGAACTGAGTTTATGCTCTTTCTCCATAACAGTTTGAGGTTCATTTGTCTCCCTTTGGAAAACAACAACTGTTTCAAACTAGAAATATCATCCTGTTTTTTTGTAAAAGTAAGAACAAAAATCAACAAATTTTATTTATGATCTCTTGGTGCCAAGTGTAAAATGAAATGTAAAAAAAATCATTATGACATTTGTGTTATATATAGCTCAGTTTCTGAGTATAAAATCCTAGCTAAAAAACCTTCCACTAACATTAGATTTTTTTAGCTTTCCTAATCTTTACAAAATATCAAATTTAAATGTTAAATTGAATGTCTAAATGTAAAATCCTAAGTCTAAATGTGTAAATATAAATGTAAAAGTTAAATCCTATATTGTGGGTACTGTCACAGTTTATATTTAAGTATTTCAGAGTAAAATACAGCCTTTGCTGTTGGTACTGGGCTCTTGTTGTGACATCATCATGCTGAGACAAAAGCAATTGCTAACTAACTCTGTTAACTCTGCTAATTCTTCCCTACAAGACATCAAACTTGCAGTAGTGGCAGGTGTTCAAGCTGCACTTCAAACTGTTGGACCATAAATACCATCCATATTGTTTTTAATGTCATCTTTAGCCGTGTTAGCTGCATTAGCAGTGTTAGCATTTGCTTTTGTCGCAAACTGATGGCATCAAAACAGAAGCCGAGTGCCAACAGCAAACGCTGTGTTCCAATCTAAAATTCTTAAATGCAAGTTTTATCACTGAGCTGCAACCTTCAAGATTAAATTTTTACATTTAGATTTAGAATTTACATATATTATTTAACACTCAAATTTAACATTTAGTGAAAATTAGCAAAATGTTAGAGCAGTGAACTAAATAACAATAAAATGCTTATGGAAAAAAATCTGCATTATTTTACACTCAGAAAGTAAGCTAAATCGTGAAACTGTATGACATTTTTAAACATTTTATTTTACWCTTGGTGCCCATATCTTTGTTCTAATTTACGCCACAGTTTTGTTTAAGCTGAGTTCTTTGATGATGAATCACTCAGCCTAAAAGCTGATCAATATCCTCACTTTACTAATGCACCCTCACGTAAAAAACATTTAGATATGCGACAGATTATTTTTTCCCCTTTTTTTTGCCCATTCAAAAGCAGCTAAACCTGCTCTGGCTACACATCTCAGACAGAAGTTAGTAAATAATGCAGCAGGTTAAGGAGGCGTTTTGATGTAGCAGATGTGACACACGAGTTCTGCTCAGAGTGCATCTTAGGCAGGAGATGGAAACAGGGCTGGGGGTGGGGCAGCAGGTCGATGGTGGGGGCAGCTCGCGTCATGTTTCTGCATATTGGACAGCAGCAGATTGTAAACATCTGAGCCTGTGGTCACCTCCTGAGGTCAAACTGGCTCAAAGCCTCTGCTTGTGTTTTGGAGGATTTTTTAAACCAGTCAAAGATGCCTTTCTATCTAGAATTTTTTTCTAAATATATCCAATACAGTCATAAATATGACAGATGACTGATATACATATATATATATATATATATATATATATATATATAATAACCTAAAATGAAGAGTTGGACCAAATGTCAATGGGTTATTCTGATTAGGAAGTC